GCTTGACATCTGAAACAACAGTAAAACAGATGTTCTGTGGACCATTTGAGATGGCATCCGTGCCTAACTAAATGCTGAGCTCCCTTTACCCTTTCCGTACATACCTGAAAAATTGTGCTGGAGGAATTTGTGTCAAAATCAAACAGTGTTTTCCCCTTTGATGTACATTCCCACGTCAGGTGACCTTCACTTCCACTTTGACAGCACTATGCCTTAGGCTCCTCCGACAGATAATTAATTATAAATGGATGGTTAGCAGAGGGCACGCCCATGTGAATGGCCGCCCGCAGTGCATCTGGCTCTTAAAGCCATCGGCCTGCCCACTCTCAGTTGATGTCATTGCATGATAAAAATGGCCGGGAGAGCAAGAGGATCTTGACCCTCATCTGGCTCAGAATGGTGTATGCGACTCTGGACTTGTAAAGCGGCGGCTCACCCTCGCAGTCTAGCTCTCAGTCAGAGCAGGACATACTGTCAGGCAGCTCAGGCGAAGCAAGCTGGCTTCCCGTCCCGCTGGCCAGGACCCTGATACGAGACTGCTTGGTAGTATTTAAGAAGGATCTGGACGTCAGGGAGTTCCCAGCCTTGCAAGCAGGAGGCAGTTTTATATTTTACCCTGAAACTAATGTTAAAAATAGTGATCAAGTTCTCACATGATCCCATAAATCCACCTTAATACAACTGTAGCTGAAATGCTGTACATATCCAATAAAAAATGACAAAATCTTTTGAATTTAAGTAGCTTCATGTATTCATAAAGTTAGTATGAAGTATCTGTAATATAATTGAATGATGACATATGAGTATCTGTGAGTTTAGTTTGAGGATGCGGGCAGGAGATTTTATGGAGAGTCTGCAGGCTTCCTGGGTCCTTTAAAAATAAGGTTTAGAACACTTTTGAGTCTTTTTTATGATTAAGCAGAATATTGTATCTACTGTTGATTTGTAACTTACAGATTTCCTTTTCCTCAATAGATCTCGATCACTAATGTAATTTTAACGCTTATCCTCTATGATTTAGGGTAGTCTTTGACTTACAAAATGGAACAACATAGGAAGATAAAATTTTTTGTTGGATAACCGTTAAGAATTTGAAAGGGAGGAGGAGGTGGAGGGTGGTGAAATAGAAGACATACACCGATGTTTAATGAGGAGCTCACAGCTCTGTAGGAAAGAGAGATGCCCAAATGCCCCACCCCAAGGGGAAAGGTGGCGATGGCGGGGGCCGGTGTTGGGGTGCTGGTGCTCACTGCAGGGCTCCCCCAGGGCCCACCCTGGGGCTGTCTGGGGGAGAGCAGGAGGGGCGGATGGAGAAGCCAGTGGCCCTGGCCGCGTGGCAGAAGAGATCTTTGCAGACTGGGGTTCTTTCTTCCAGGTGTGCCTGCATTTACTCATGTGCTGTTTGTCTATGGAAAAGACTGTTAAGCTGTCAAATAGTGAACTACCTCGGTAGTTCCTGATGCCGTGATCATGGTTTTGGTCTCGTTTCTTTTAGGTTACCCCTGTTTCAGGCCAGTGCTTTTGCATTTCTGGCCCCTGCTCGAGCCATCCTGTCTTTAGATAAATGGAAATGTAACACCACAGGTAATTGCAGTTATTTCCACATATGTCATGGGGGTCCTTTAATGCAGGTGATAAAAGGGAGGTCCTTGGCAGCATTAAATCCTTTCTGGAATCAGGCACAGAAAACACAAACCAGCAAACAGCTTAGAACACTCCAATCTGTGGATCGTGTTTCTGTCTCTCTCTCTATCCACTCGTTCATCCCTAACCCCAGAGCAAGTAAGGACCAGATGGGACCTCATTTCTCTATGCTAATGAAATTGATAAGTATGGGAACAGAAGAGAAAAGTATTTGTGCTATTTTTCTGCCTCTTTCTTTCAGTGGATTTTATGAACCACCAGTAATCACTCTCTTTGCTGCATCAAGCATCCCTTCTCTGAAACATCTCTGCTTTTTAAGGATCTGGCTGCTTTGGTTTTCTGCAAATGACTTTCATCCCCCTCGTCCCCTTAGTGATTGCAAAGATCCTTAAACAACCCTGTAAGGTCAGGAAAAGATAAGATAGGGGACTTAAGAAAAACCAGACCCCGTTGTACTCTCAAACTTCCATTTAAGGCTCTAGGAGCAAAGTTTTTCCAGCCTTCACTTCCTTTCTTGCTCCTAGGAGTTACTTTGTGACCACTGATTTGATTTAGGAACTGGAGGAGGCCCTCTGCTTTATCTAGGTTTTTACAACCTCAGTCAGGCAGCCTTGCTATTGGGCATTTCAATGAGCTGCTTGCAAAGGTTGGTCTTTGTGTGAGGCTGGCACTAGCATTGTGCATCACCAGTTCAGTCAGCTTTTGACAAGCTGGGAGCTCTCAGTCGATGAATAAATTTGGTTAAATTAGCATTGGGGAATCCACCTTTCAGTATGGTAAGCCGTACTGTGGAATTTTAGGTATGGGTATTGATACATACTTAAAACAGGGAGGAAATTCTTCTTTAAAAGACTAAAATGAATGTGTCCTGTGAAACCTCAGTGTCACTCCAAGAAAAATTTTGTCTTTGTTTTTGTTTTCAAGATGTTTCAGTTGCCAACGGAACAACCGAACTGTTGCACACAGAGCACATCTGGTATCCTCGGATACGCGAGGTAAAAGATGATTGTCCTCTGCTTGTGGCTGCTTTGTGTTTCTGCTCAGCTTCAGTGTTGGTTGTGCCCAAGAAATTGCAGTTGCTTGTGCTAAGCCCTTCCTTTTTTTTCACCTATTGACATGTTTATTTCTGTTGTTAACCTAAATTTAGATGACATCACTATAAAATGAAGCAGGCAGAACTGCTTTGTGCAGCCAGACAGTATTGTCACCCTTCACTTCCCTCCTCCTTTCCTCTGGTGCCCCCCCAGACTTGCCCACTTACCCCCTCCAGCGTAACCAGCTGAAGGGCATGGCTCCCTTGAAAGGAGCTTCAGAGGCTTGTCAAGAGGCAGCAGAACTATTCATTCCCGTCTCAGCATTTGCCTGCATTTGTGGAAAGAATTACAGATATTGTCTAGTTACAGTGCACTTGAACAGGATAGGTCCTCAGTGGGAGGACTTCAGACACGAAGAATGGCCCACAATTTATCCAACGCTTTCAAAACCTATAAGATCATTCACCATTAGTTCAGAACCAGCACAGCCATTTTGCACAATAGAAACATTCCTTTCGAGTTTTTGTTAATAACACTATCTTTTAAATGTCCTGCAGTGGCTCACTTTTTAACTTTTTACTGCAGTGTTCCTTTGAAGCTGGTTTTGAATGTCACGTGTCTGAAGTAGGAATTATAAATTACGCCTGCCTCATTTATCAGTGGAAAAGGCAAGTTAGTTTTGTGTCCAGTGCCCAGTTCTATAATATTCTTACATCAGTCAGGTCATACCTAGGTTTAGTAGGTCCCAGTCACACCCATGGGTTTCTTTGGGAGTTTCTGGGCATTTTCCAGCCGTGTCGTACCTGTTATACAATAACTCGATGCCTTGTGGAATTATCAGTTGTCGTTGCAGGTGACTTTTGGAGTATGTGATATATAAGCAGCTTACTTGCGTGTTTGCGCCCTCTCTTGTTCCAGATCCAGGGGGCTATCATCATGTCCTCACTGATTGAAGTGGTCATCGGCCTCCTAGGCCTGCCTGGGGCTCTGCTGAAGTACATTGGGCCCCTGACCATTACGCCCACGGTGGCCCTCATTGGCCTCTCTGGTTTCCAGGCAGCGGGAGAGAGAGCGGGGAAGCACTGGGGCATCGCCATGCTGTAAGTATTCTGAAACCACTCAGTTGTGGACAGTAAAACACTCCCCCATTCCCACCATCGACGGACAGCCTCTTGGAACGTTTTGAATATTTACGTAGACTTAGGAGATAGGTTTTTGTTTTTTTTAAAGTAAGAGTAGTCTGCTAGTTTAAACTTGAGTTGCTTCATGCCAGGGAATTACTGAAGGGTGTTTTAGACCTGGAGATTGGAAAGTGACTTGGAGTCAAAGTATGCCAAGGACAGATCAGCAGTGATGTGTAGAGGAAGGGTTGTAAGGTTTCAAATTTTGGGAGTGGGTAAGATGGTGGTGTCATTAACTCTTGACCCCTGAGGCCATGCCAAGTCTCCTGCACATGAATTGAAATACTGAGAAGCCGAATCCTTTAGGTAAGACTCAAAAATACTTCCAGACTGGCAGGAGGATCTGTTGGCATCGAAGGAGACATGGCCCACAGGCCAAGCAGAGCTCTGTACACCTGTGGGAAGGCCAGAGTCCTGCTAGTCAGTACCGGTTCTTTGGCACAGAACTTCAAGCCCATTAAAGATGCCACTTCTCCTTTAAGGAATGACAGTAAAGACATCCAAGACTTTGATAATATTGTAAGATTGATAATTAGAGCCATGGACTCTTCTGTATACCACAAATAGAATGGATATTCTCTTGTGTGTCTGTAGAGCATATGGAAGAGTTGATCACATGATAGAGAAATGGTTCCAAGACTCTGAAATTTTCCCGACTAGTAAAAATTTTAAAACAAATTAAGTAATAACACAAGAGGATTTCCAGTTGTTTTTGTTTTGCTTTATGAAATGTTCTGTAATTATTCAATAACAGGCAGCACTTACTAAGTCTATGTATCAGTGCTTTATACAACACTTGTATTATTATAAATTAAGGATCTTTCATGAATAAGATTTTAATTAAAATGCCTCATTCTTAATGGTGAAAGACTTAAGTCAGGCCTGCCTGTTGAAATCAGAAATCAAGACAAACGTGTTTATTATCACCAGTATCATTTAAAGTTTTTTTGGATGTGCTAACCAAAGGGTAAGATAAGAAAATAAAATAATATGGATCAATATCAGAAAGATCGGGAAGGAGGGAATGGTGACTTGTCTTTATAAGAATTAAAATACATTCCAGAACTTAATAACAATAGAGTGTTACTGGGACAGGAATGACTTTTGTAGGGCAGAACAGGATGGATAGAAATAGACCCAAGAAAAAATTCATTTTAGTGTGTGATGCAGTCACATTTGAAATCAGTGGAAATGGAAGAATTATGTAGGAAAAATTAGATAATTATTTGGAAAAAAGATAGATTCATACTTTGTATCAAATTACATTTCAGTGAAATTAAGGATTAAATGTAGAAAATAAAACCATAAAAGTGCTAGAAGAAAACCTACATAAATATTTAATCATGATATAGGGGAGATCTTAAAGCAGACATTGAAAAGAGAAAGATCAATAAATTTTACTTCTGATGCATTTAAAACTTATATCAAAAGCCACTAAAATTAATTATAAGTGAACCTGGGGAAAATACAACAAATTCCACAAGAAAGGCCAATGTCCCCAATTCATAGTTTCACTAATTAATTTAAAGGAGGGAGGGTCCCAGTGAAGTAATGAATGAAGGCTATGATATGAGCAGCCATTTAACAACAAAAAAAAGGAAATACAAATAGCCAGTTAGTGTCTAAAAAGGATTACCCTCTCCAGTTATGAAAATGCATATTCACAGGGATTCTGTAAGCAGTAGCCTAGCGGTGGGGAATTAGTTTGTACAATATGGGTCCTAAGTCACTCCAGTAGAGGTGGCATTGAGAGGCAGATCCTCAGGGGGATGGTAAGTGTGGTGACATTTCTAACATTTCTGACACATCGTGTATAGGTCCTTGATGGGAACTGTGTTTTTCTTGAAAAAACTTAACTTTTCTTAGGGATAATTTCAAACCTATTCAAAAGTAGAGAGAAGAGCATAACACAAGCCCTCCTGCACCATCATCAAACACTCAAGAGAAGTCTCATTTTATCTCATTTTATCTATACCCCCAAATACATTTAAATTCCAGTCATTTGAAGTTTTAACAGTAGCTAAACAGGCAAATCTAAAGTAGTAGTCCATTCTTCCACCCCATCCCTCAAAAAATCTGCGCATGATTAACTAGTAAAAATTTAATATTTATCCTTCCATATTTTATATTGTTTATGCATAAATACAAATGTGTACATATGCAGCTTTACCGTTATATTATTTCATAATTTGTTTTTCATCCCAACAGTTTTTGGTGGGCTCACCTTTCCAAGACAGTTTCGATCTATTTTATTCTTTATAAAAACTGCATAATGTTAAATAGTATGAAATAGTCTAATTTATTAAACTATTCCCCAGTTGAGACGCAGGAATGTTGTATAAAATATTTGCTGTTGCAAACGATGCTGAACTACATAATTCATGTAAAAAAATGAGTGTTAAAATAACAACAAAGTTTTTTCATGTAAAAAAAATGTTAAGTAACGATAAAGTTTTTTAAATTGATGAAAAATTGGTAGAGATTTAAAAATACGATAAGACCCTATGTTACAGGGAGTAGCGAATGACTGTTCTTGGTCCCTGGATGATACTGTAAATTCACCCAGCCTTTCTGTATGTATTGGGTTGTCAGAAAAGTCATGATGCATTTTTGCAACGAAACACATAGAAAAAATACGTCATGACTTTTCCGACAACCCAATATTTGACAGCTTGTATTAGAAGCTTTTCAGTAAGGTATTTACTGTTTGCCAGATCTGCTCTAATCCTAGGAACTTGTCCTAAGGAGATACTGAGGCAAGTGCCAGGGAGGGGGGTGATCCGTCACAGTCGTTTGTGTTGCTCCCGTTGTCACACCATATGGGAATAGTTAAACAAGATGTGGTATGTCTATAAGATGGACTGCGAAGCAGTCACTAAGGTGCTGGTGCAGATCTCCATCTGTCAAGGTCATGGCATTAATAGGGCTTCAGCTGGTTGGGAAGCAGCATGTAAAGTATGACTCCACTTCGGGTCATGTTTGTGCTCCGAGGGCAATGATGATGTCAGGCAGCCCAGTCTCCCTCTCTGTCCCCAGGATGACCCATAAATATCCCGGGAATGGAAACCGTGAGGGATTGATAGACCAGAGTGCTGCATGGTTGTCACCCAGTGACAGGGTAATGAGTGATCTTTAGGATTTTGTCTTTCTTTTTGCTTATCTGCCTTTTATAATTTTCCTACATTTTAGTATGCATTTTTTGAATAGTATTTGAAAGGTCAACAAGCAAATGATACGTAAATGTGAGAAAGAGCCAGCTGTGGTGGGTGGAACCCTGACCTGTGGATCTTGGCCTCAGATACTTATCTCTTCTCTGCTCAGCCAAGGTGTGTGAACTTGGGCACGTTCCCCACCTTCTGCCTCTGCTGTGGGGTTGCCTGCCCTACCTGCCCCACAGGTGTGTTTGAGAATAAACATCAATTAGAAGTAGAGGGATTTTAGAGTGGAAAGAAGACAGAGCTGTCATCTGCCCGGTCCACTCCCTTCACTTGCGCTGCCAGATTTGAGCCTGAGATCTGGGTGCCCTTCCTTCAATTCTGTATGTGTTCCCCATCCTTTTTCTTTTTTTAATTTATTTTTATTGGGGGACAGTGGGTTTCTCCAGCACCCATCCACTTCAAGTCAAGTAGTTGTTTCCATCTAATTGTGGAGGGCACACCTCAGTGGCCCATGTGAGAATCGAACTGTCAACCTTGGTGTTATGAGCCCTCGCCCTACGCTCTAACCACCTGAGCTAACCAGTCGTACCTCCTTCATCCTTTTTAAAACGTGCTTTGAAAAGTGAACACCACAGTGCAGGTCTAATTGCCAGGCAGGGTGTCACCTAAAATAGTAATAATAGCAGACTTGGGGTGATTTTGGATCTCAGAGTGTTCACTTTGAAGTAAGTCCAGTAGCATTTTGTAAAACATGAAAATTTCATGTTGGTCTAAGTTTAAAATAAACCAATTTTAGCATCCCTCATTGCCATATAGTTTTTTTTGGTAAACTTCACTACCCCAGGAAAATTGGAATAACTTGAGCACTATGTATGTTTTCAACCTTCAATTGCGATGGGCCTGGTGACTGTGGTGGGGCAAAGACCCCCATCACCAGGCCAGCGAAGTGCCCAGTAGGTGGGAAGGTGGCAAAGCAGCCCAAGCCTGTTGTCCAGCGGGCTGCAGTCTGCACCTCATTAGATGTGTGACAGTGAAGCTGCACTTGACTGGCTGTCAATGGAGCTGATAATTCCATCTCGGTAATTGGGACTGTGCCCAGGAACAATTCAGCTTAGCTTTGACGGAGAACCCACGCTTCTGCCAGCTCTGCCTCGGGTTATAAGTGAAGGAGCAAGTCCCAGTGGGCGATGAAACGCATCATTGTACACCTTTATTGTTTCAGTGATGGGAAACCATCTCACACCTGCCACACTCGGGGCAGTGGACAGATGAGGATGTGTCGGGTCCTGCTGCAAGGAAGCCACCTGACATCGCTGCCTCCTGCAGCCCTCAGTGCAACTGGGTCAGGGGTGTGGGATTTAGGGTAAAGGGACTTCTGAGCCAGCCCAGGCATCCCAGCCCTTATGACCCGCGTGGCCAAGTAGTTCAGAACCCAGGTTCTAGAGCTAGACCCCTGGTCTACCTACCCTGCAAACTGTAGCTGCACGATCTTCAACAGCTGGCTGTGTCTCTCTAAAGTGGATGGTCATAGAAGCCACTGCAGACGGCTGAGATGATGGGTGGGAAGACCTTCCCATAATGTCTGACACACAGAAACCTCTCAGGAATATTACTGTTCATATCCAGTTCTACTGTGTATAGCTTCCTTCAATATTGAAGCTTTACTTTTTGCTTTTTAAAAGTAATTTATGCTCTTTATAAGTGAATCCGAAAATATAGAGAAGTTGAAAAAATTTGCATGTCATATTGCCACCTGAAGCCAATCTCTATTAGCATTTTGGATCCCATCCTTACTGTTTTCATATATGCATATGCGTGTGTACGTGATTGCTCGTGCGGTCGTTGCTTGTTTTTTGGTGAATTTGTAGTTGTAATTACACTACGCTCTATATAGTATCTGGTAGCCTGCCTTTTTCTCTTACATAGCATGAGCTTTTCCCATCAGTGTGTGTGTTCTTTGGGTTTTCTTATTCTATTAAGGAAAATTTAGCCAAAGCATTTACATGGTAATTTCATTTCTGTGTCAAGTAATGCTAAGAAAAGAGTTCTGATATCTTTCCAAAAATAGCATGCCTAAAAGATATGATTTCCTAAATAATTAGTTAAGAGGACTAGCAGCTTTCTAGGGAAATGAGTTGAACATGTTGTCATTTTGCCGTTAAAGATTTGAGTAATATTTTAAAACACAGATATCCAGCCTTTAACCTAGTTTATGTTCTTTCTCTCCTCAGGACAATTTTCCTAGTATTACTGTTTTCTCAATATGCCAGAAATGTTAAATTTCCTCTCCCGATTTACAAATCCAAGAAAGGATGGACTGCATATAAGTTACAGCTTTTCAAAATGTTCCCTGTGAGTAGTCACCTTGTTTTTCCTGACAGTATTACCTTTGGTTCATTATGTAAAATGTTTAAGTGAAAGGAGGGTTTTAAGCAGATGCTTCCGGGGGGGCCATGTCTGTGTGGTGATATCGGGGTACTGATGACCACCCAAATTGTCATGGACTTAAACGTGGTGGAAACTTCTGGTTTTGAAATCCTGTTAGCAGTGGGAAGAGGACAAGTGATTGTTCCTGGAACTGAGGGAGACCTGACTGCATGCTACCTCTGTAGGCACATTGTCCATTATTATTTTGCTAGCCAGACTTAGGGTTAAAGTAACTTGACCTGCATAGAACTGCTCTTTCTCAATGTGATTCCATTCAAGAAATAGGCTTTCAGCAGATCTGAAAGCAGATTGGGTTTTGTCCGCAAAGTACAGACGGTGGTGGGTTCTGGGGTATGATACTCAGACTATAGGAAGGTGCGTGTTTCGCCGACGGCCACCACCTTTGTGGGCCTGATGGAGCCTTTTCCTTTGACCGCTTCAGATCATCCTGGCCATCCTGGTGTCCTGGCTTCTCTGCTTCATCTTCACAGTGACGGACGTCTTCCCTCCTGACAGCACCAAGTATGGCTTCTACGCGCGAACGGATGCCAGGCAGGGTGTGCTCCTCGTAGCCCCATGGTTTAAGGTCCCGTACCCATGTAAGTATTCTGGTGGCCAGAGGGGCCAGGAGCTCACAAAGGGCCAACTTCCGGGAGTCGGAAGTTGGCAGAAGGCTCTGCAGAAGGAAAAGCCTTCTGTGTCCCAGAAGGTTTTGGTCATTAGAGGGTTTTACCACCATCCCACCCCCCCCACCCCCCCAAAAAAGGGAGGCCCTGTCTCTGGGGGGCCGTAATTAACACATGGAGACTAACCAGCTCCCTTCTCAGGTTAAGTAACTGGTTCTTTTGGTTTCATGAGGGTGAAATCCTGCACAAGGGATCTCTTGCCAGCTGTGAGGTCTGGTGGCTGGGATTTAAGGGCAGCTGCTTAGAAAGGCAAGTGTAGAGCTACGCAGGACCCAGGCCACCAAAATGAACAGACTTGAGTGGGAGGGGCTGGAGATTAGCAAGAAAACAGCTCAAGTATGATGAAATTTGTATTATCTTTTAACGGGCAGCTATAATCTTTTTAAAAATTTGGTCACAGCTGTCAGAGGTAAACTGATTCACAAATGTATGGAAGATGGATCTCGGTTATAATTTAAGTGTTGGATAACTCTTGGCAAGGTGGGCGGGGTGGGGGCATCCTCAACTGAGCTATCACTTGGATTCACGTGTACCACCTTCTAGACCCCTCCCCAAAAATGACTCGTGTGAATCCAGTGTTTATTAATGCTCGGTGGTTCTGTTGTGAAGACTCTGTTCCGACACTTGGGGTTTTAATTAACATTAAAGCCCAAGTTTAGTCAGGTTGTGCTAATTTATTCTGTTTAGCAGTCAAATCTTCACACTTTACAATGACAAGGAGAGAAAGCAGAAAAAGCCAAGAATATTAAGATTGAGTCAAAGACAAGTGTTCTAAGCATGCCAAATGATGGCGACATTGGCAGTTGTTCCTTCTGTTCTTGACACATTTACAAACACTTAAGAAAGTGTAGTCTTTCTAAAATCACATCGTCATCAGATCCTGTGGTCTAAGTATATCCTTATGTATATATCCTTTTAGAAAAATGCATTTTTCATAAATATACATATAATCTCAAATAAAAGGAGATTAAAAGTCAACTGGCAAGGCAGTCAGGAGGAGGCATGGGAGGACAGGTAGGGGGAAGCCCCCACAGCACATGCTGGGTGGTCTTCCGAGATGAGCACAAACAGGAACACAGGGCAGGCTGCCCAGGAGAAGCAGCTTTGCATGTGCTGAGACCAGTGCTGTTCGGTTTTGCATCATGACAACCCTTAACTGCCGCGAGCTGCTCTATTGCCTAAGCCACCCCAGAGAGCCAGAAAGATGTAGTCTTATTTACTCTCTGATGATTTGGCTGAATCTGGAGACCGGCTTTCAAATATGTGGTTCTCTGTCGTTAGCATGCTAAGAATTACCTGGAGTGGTTGTTAAAATACAGATTTGTGGCCCAAAATGTCAACAGTGCTGAGGTTGAGAAACCCTGCTGTAAAGTAACAATATAAATTAAAGGGTCTCATTATAAAGGAGAGATGAAATAACAGTCAAGATAGAAGGCTAGAAGCTAACAAGGTTTTTAATATAATATATATGTATTTATATAAGCTGAAGGAAAAGGATAAAAATTTAGAAGATTACAAATTTAAAATGTTGAAGTAAATGGAATAAAGATTTTATACATCAAAATTAAGGACTTTAGGGCCGGCCAAGTGGCGTGTTGGTTAAGAACTGGCTTGGGATGCCAGAGGGCCCTGGTTCGGATCCCACATATGAGGGCCAGTGACACTGCCCTCTACAGCTAAGATGCTGAACAACAGCTCGACCTGGATCTGGGCTGCCATGGGTCGGCGATGGTGTAGGCTGCAGTCCCCTGCTTCAGTGGTTTGCCATGGGCTACCGTGTGTAGCCAGCAGCCAGCGTGAGCGGCCAGCAGCTGCCGTGAGCAGCAGTCCAGAAGCCGGCGACTGATCTGCCTCACCCTGGAAGAGCGCAATGATGGTGCCAACTTGAGCCAGTGAAGCAACGTCCTCCACAACTAGACTGAAGAACAAAACGACAGCAACTTGTCTGTTCCCCTTCCCCCAATTCCCTAGCGCTGTTCCCATCCCCCAATTCCCCAATAAAAATCTTAAAAAAAAAAAAAATTAAGGACTTTAGGCGAAAGGGGAAAAAATAAAACAGTAAAAGTAAAGAAACTAAGAAAGTAAAACCCAGTTTCTTAAAAATAGCAAATGGCAAAATGAGAATACCTCCCCTAAATCAAGAAACTAAAATGAAGCCATAACATTATATCAGTAACAAGATAACAATATAAAAGATTATTTAGAAAATACAGAATGTTGCTTGATGAAGAAATCACCCGCATGAGGAAAATCTCTTCCAAATCCACCCAAGATGAGGCGTTAGCCAGCCTGTTGCTGGTGGGCACGGAGCATGCGGAGCTGTCGTCTATGGACATGCACCTTGACCCCTGACCACAGGCTGCCTCTGGGTCCTCTGTCTGCTCCCACGGGTGAAGTAGCCCCAAGTGGGAGCAGTTCTGCCCTCATACACACTCCAGGCATATTCTGCACATCTTAACTTCATGTGTCATCTTTTCTTCCCAAACCTGAGGTTGTTCCCCTTTACCTACGAGACAGAGACCAGGCCCCTCTAGGTGGCGGTTGAGCTCTTCTAAGCCTACCTGCCCCATCCCACATGCACCCCCTGCTGAATACCAGCCAGTTCCTATTCACCTGGTTCTGCCCATGTGCTAATGCTCAGGCTGCTACGTGCTCAGAACGCCTGCTCCACTTGTCTCCTGCTCTCCAGACCCTCCCTGGGCAGGGACTACCCTCTTCCTGACTTCTAACTTGCAGTCTTTGGTACCCAGTTTGGGTTACCTTCATTTGATGTCTTACCATTACACTTCCTAGATCTTTAAGTGTCTGTGCCCTAACTACGTTATTGGCCCCTGCACAGGAGACCATTTCATCTATCCATCTTTTTCCACTTTGCTTTATTCTTAGTGGCTGTGTTGTAGCCAGTGGTTCAAGGGAAGAAGGTCTAGGTACTTTATGAAAGAAGTGAAAGTTCCTCATGCTATTTTTATTAAATAAGATCTATGGCTCTCAAAGTCCAAAAAGAGATTTTTTTTTTCTCCAAAGATGTATCTAATGAAGAATTCAATAAATCCAGATACTCAAAATGAAGCTACCCCGGGAACTTCTCTTTGCTTTCTTTTTCTTTTTTTAAATTTTATTCTATTGGGGAATTGGGGGAGGGGAACAGCGTTGGGGAATCGGGAAATCAGGGAAGGGGAACAGACAAGTTGCTGTCCTTTTGTTCTTCAGTCTAGTTGTGGAGGATGTCGCTTCACTGGCCCATGTTGGTATTATTATCATTGCGCTCTTCCCGGGTGAGGCAGATCGGTTGCCAACCACTGGACGGCTGCTCACGGCGGCTCTTGGCAGCTCACGCTGGCTGCCAGCCACTCATGGTAGCTTACGGCAGCCCACTGCAGCAGGGGCTGCAGCCTATGCCGTCGCCAGTGACTCATGGCAGCCCAGCTCCATGGTTGAGCTGTTGTTCACCATCTTAGCTGTAGAGGGCAGTGTCACTGGCCCTCATGTGGGATCTGAACCGGGGCCCTGCTGCTCAGAGCTGGTGTCCCAAGCCAGCTCTTAACCAACACGCTACTCGGCCGGCCCTCCTTGCTTCCTTAAAGGAAACTGGCTTAAATTTTCCATAACATGGTTTACTAAAAAAAAAAAATGTGCTGATGTAACACTACGCCTTGTGCCATACTTTACTATTGGGATTTAAATTTAGCTGGTGACTTTTCACTGCTTTTTCATTTGATGCTACCCCCAGAGCTAGGGCACCATTAGTTTGTACCACACTTTGCATAGCAGGGTTAAGAATACTTCTCATACAAATTGCTGCCCCAACATGGCAGGCCGTATTAAGTTGTAATTTAAGTGACACTGGTTTTGAGGCACCCGCCTCTTCCTGCCAAACCATTTTTTTAAAATAAGGACAGAGAACAGACCAATCCTGGTATGGCCATCCGTCATCCAACTCAGGAGCTGTTCCCAGGCATCTAGTCCATTGGTGACTTAGGTTTAAAAATAGATTCTACGAGCTTTGAAGTCTGAGTGGATTTTATAGTCCTGACATTCTGAGTAAATTGATGTCCTGATAACTTTTGCCTGTCCCTCTGAGATAGTAAGGATTTCACATTTGTTTTCCTTACATAGTTCAGTGGGGACTGCCCACCATCTCCGCCGCTGGTGTCATTGGCATGCTCAGCGCAGTCGTTGCCAGTATTATCGAATCTATCGGGGACTACTACGCCTGCGCCAGGCTGTCCTGTGCCCCACCGCCTCCCATCCATGCAATAAACAGGTACATTCCTGAGAAAAGGCGTTCTTCATTGGGCCTGGGACCTCGTTACTCTTCTCTTAGGTTTGGATAATCTTGGAGAAGAAACCAAGAGTTCCAGCATGAAGGCAGCCAAGCATCAGGGCTCTTCACTAGCTGTTTGTCCTTAGACAAGTCATTGCCCTCATTCTGTCCGTTTTCCTGTTCTGTACACCAAGCAGAATCCTCACCCTTTCTTCCTCACCGGGACAGCCACATAAGACATTCTCTATGAGACCGTTCTAGACCTTAAATTCACCAAAACAAGTGCCAGACACTACCATTGTTTTTTTCTTGGTTTGGGGTCATGAATGTTTGTCCCCTATGATTCTTGTTTTCCCAGCTGTTCTGAGTGTAGATGCTGTGTCATTTATTTGCAATTACAACTTATTTGTAGAGAGAGAAAAGCAGGAATACATGAAGTCTGCAGAATCTAGAGGTTTATGAGTTGTGGGGTTGAGGTTCTCAGCAGACCTGGTCTTTAGCTTCTGGATGCCGGGAGTGAATTGGACCCTATGGAAGTTTCGGAGGAAACAGCCCACATCACCACGCCAGCCCCTCCCCCAGCCCTTTCCCAGGCAGCTGCTGTCCCTCCAAAAGGGATCGCATGTGATGAGATCCGATGGGCTGGTGTCTTAGCATCTCTCACATTGATTCTGTTAGGTATTACAGTGCTGGGTTTTATGACTTTCTCCAGTGGAGCTGTTGCATATGATTATATTACTTGTATATTGATTCTTTAAAAAAAAAATTTGTCAGCGTTTACAGAATTACAGAGCGTGTCCTTCCCAATGAAACTATATATATTAATGGTAAAGGAATCAAATCAGTGGACTGCCCAGGTTTGTCTTAGATCCCAACAAATGGCCCTGTTTTCTGGCTTAAGTCCTTTCATTGGGATACTGTTTAAACACCTGTGTCTAATGTGTGGCTCACAGAGGTGCTTCTCAGAGTTGAGTGAGTGTGGAGGACCTTGGTAAAGTGTAGGTTCTGCTTCAGCAGGTCTGGGGTGGGGCCTGAGACCCTGCATTGCTAACCCCTCCCGGGGAGTGTAGAGGCTATGGATCTGCGGAGCAGGCCCTTGGATCACAGCCAGTTAGAGCATATTTCTGCGTGTCTCCCCCAATCAATGAATGTTTCTCTTTCCCCCATTCCTTTACATTTTAGGGGGATTTTCGTGGAGGGTCTCTCCTGTGTTCTCGATGGAATATTTGGTACTGGGAATGGCTCTACTTCATCCAGTCCCAACATTGGAGTTTTGGGAATTACTAAGGTACAAATACTTTTCCAATTAAACTACCGGGCCTCTAAGTGTCGATCTATTTCATTGATTGGTCTGACCACCTGAGTTCCTAAAGGAAGGCCTTCAGTTCTGAGATCTTCTCCCCAATCATTTTTTTCTCCGTTGATGGGTGTTTGGAATGTCGGTGGAGGTCTCTCCTCCCTGGGCTGGCCTGGGTAGGCAGGCTCTCGGGTGCTGTCATTTCTTCATGCCTTCTGCAAATTTTTATTAAGCACCAACCCTGTGCAAGCCTGATGTTCCAGGCACTTGAGATGCATCAGTGACTACAAAAGAAAAATACCCCCATCGTTGTGTAGTTTACATTCTAGCAGGGCAAGACAAACAATAAACAGTAATCATACTAATACAACAGACACATGGGGCGGGGTGAGGGCGGTGGGGAGTGAGGGTGAGTGTTAAATGGGGTGATCAGGCTCAGCCTCATTGAGATGGCCTGGAGCCAAGAGTGAAGGCGACGAAGGAGGGAGCTGCACAGGGACCTGGGGAGTGGGCAGGGTTGCAGCCGGTGCAAAGCCCTGGGAGCAGGTCAGCATGTTGCAGATCAGCAAGGAGGATGGGGCGGGGCAGATAAGAGCAGATGAGGTCTTCCAGTTAACTGAGAATGAGGTCACGCAGTCTCTGTAGACTACTACAGACACTGGAAGGGGGCGCTCCAGGGAGACACTGTTCAATCTGTTGTGTGTTTTTATTTTAAAGGTTCACTTCGGCTGCTACAATGAGAGTAGACCATGGCAAGTGGGAGAGGAAGTGGAAACGGGGGACCAGTTAGGAGATGGCACTAGCTCTAGATGAGAGATGGTACTACTCGTTACAGAAAAAAATTGGATCTTCCTTGTAAAGAATGAACATGGTTTTCAAACTGTAGCAGCAGAACCCTTCTCTTTCAGATGAACTCAGTTGTGGAATGAGTGGATTAGCTAGGCCACAGCGAGTCACTCAGGTTGAACAGGGCCAGGGTCCGGGGTCCTACCTACTTACCCAACTTCAAACACACACATGTAACGCTGGGGCTGCCCCACCCCACAGTCCAGCCTCTGTAAGCAGGCGCCTGCTCCTAGGCCTTTCAAATTTATTACTGGCAAACAAACTTTATATCCCAGTTACCTAGGGCCAAAGCGTGCTGTCTGCCAGGATGTTGACGAATGTAGCTTGGCCCCCAGCCATTGTATGTTGTGCAGCTAGAGACTGTTAGAACTGGTTCACCATCCAGGACAGCTTGCAAGGGGTACAGGTCTCCCTCACCTGAGCCCTGTGTCCTAAGAACTTGAGGTTAAGCCAGAGCCTTCTAGAACTGTTTGACCTCTGAAATTAGAAATCCTCCCCACAGCTCTCTGTGAGATTCTGTAGCCAGATAAAAGGAAACCAAATACTAAATTTGGTTAATCTTGACTGCAAATCCAGGTGAGAGGGAGCAGGGCGTTAGTTGGTTTTCCTGTAAGTTGTTTTCCCTGTAGGTTTCTCACAGAGCTCAGCCTCAGGTGTGCAGATGGCTCCACCTGCTGCCTGTTGCTCCTGGTGCAGGGCACGTGAGAGCTGCCTGATGGGCACTTCCTCTAGCACCATCCATGGGTCCTGTTGCTGCCAGTGGTGAGAAGCACATGCTGAGCACATAGAGTGTCTGTCGCATGGGCACAGAATGGGGCATAAGCCACTCCCTCTTTAGCCAGTTTGCTGCCATGAACCTGTAGACGTATAACTAATCTGAAATAAAATTGTTATAGATGGAGGAATTCTTAGGAGCACAGTTGAATAAGCCAACTCCTTTTCTGCACCCCTTTGAAACTCATCACCAACAGGATCACTGTAGGGAGTCAATGGTGATGCTCACTGAGGTTTGCTTCTAAAACAAGACTGATGAGTAATTACCGTTTTTACAATGTGAATGGTGGCAGCTTATTCTGAAAGGCAACCTGCCAGCGCTTTTTAATGAACTAAATTGATTTTCCCTTTGGATCACTTCCTCCAAGCAAAAGTGGCATCCATTCAACCTGGAATTGGGTTCCATTGCCCTGACTCACAAGAGGGCATAATCCAGCCATCTACACAGGCGCCTTGGGGTGGGGAGGCGGGACTCGCTGCAGAAATTTCTCTGTGGCCTGAGCCACACAGCTGATGGGAAATCCTGTCCAGGAGAAAGGCACGGGTTCTGGGCTGTCTGCCTGTCCAGCGGAAGGACTTGGAACAAGTCACTTTTCTGAGTAAAACTGGGGTCTGAAATCCAACAATTGTAGATCTGTGCTGTCCAATATGGTAGTCAGTAGCCATGGCATGTGGCTGTTTAATTAAAATGAAAAATTCAGTTCCTCACTCACACTAGCCACACTGGAAGGGCTCATTGGTCACTTTTGTGGCTAGTGGCCACCAAGGGACAGCACAGATACAGAACATTTCCACCAGTGCAGGAAGTTCTAGAGAACAACATTGGTCTGATTCTTGTATCAGACTTCCAGGGCATTTAGAAAAAAGGGTGATCTTCGGCTCTTCCAAAGAGTCTGTCTCCATTTCCTGGCAACTCTAGTATTTGCCGTCCTTAATCCGGTTACAGAATTCCACGTCCATGGAAATTCTAACCTGTTTGGTCAGGAGTGGAGGCTGCTTACCTCATTGTGTGTTCAGAAGTTGTAAGGGATCAGATTCCATGTGCAGGGCTCCTGCTGAATGTGTGCCAATGACTGTCCCACAGAGAGGGGCAGACACGGTGGGAGGTAGCTGCTTTGGGGTCTAGCCCTGGCACCATCACTTCCTCCCAAGGTGACATCACCTCGCCACGTCTCCGTGCCCTAGTCAACAAGATAGCATGCCGGGCACTGGAATGAATAACTTGATGTGAAGCACTTAGCAGAGAGTCCAGCGTGTGGTAGGTGCACAGTAAGCTAAAGATAACCGTCTTTGTAGAGTATTGTCGAGCGAACTCAGAGTCTGGAGACTTTGGCTAGAAAGAAATGATTTATTCAAGGGCCTTAGTGTTTGCAAATTGGGGGCGCAGCTAGGCAAAAACTCAGGAGTGTTCTGAAGACGAGAGATAAGTTCTTATAGTAAAAAGTATATTCTTGAGAATGATCAGTCCTGCATTCTTCATCCTAGGATTGGTCCAGGAAAGTTATCAGGCAGATGTCAGGGGCTCTGAAAGATGGAGGTCTGGTCACACCCAACAGTCAGGTGGTCTGAATACATGACTCCTTCACAGGGTAATCAGAGGGTTATCTGGAGGTCTGGTATATGTCCAGATGTATGTCCAGGCATTGACACAGGACTGGAGAGTTCCAAAAGTTTAAGCTCCCAAGCTAGTTAGAACAATGATAGAATCATTTCCTCATGCCTCAACCTACTTGATTTTAGTAAGTAATTTAGTGGCTTGACTATAGTGACTCCATTTTGTTTCATCCCCCTATTCCTCAATATTAAGCCATTAAGTTTATTTCTAGGAATAGAGTAAACACTATCACCCTGGCTGTAGTATCTCTTTGGTGGTGTCCAGAGGAAGGTCCTTTCTCCTCTGCTGGATTCCACACTGTTGAAGACGTAGGAAAGCCAGAAACAGTGGCCCCAGAGGCAGAGCCAAAGTTCGGGAAGGAGGTCAGGAGGGAGGCTAGGAGGAGATTCCAGGGTGTGGGCAGCTGGAAGGGAGATGCAAGGGCTCTGTGTAAGCAGCAGGTAGCAGGGATTTTAGGGCTGTGTCTGATGTTTGGAATAGAGTATATAATAGACACTCAGTTAATATTTGTTGAACCCAAAAATGGCTTTGTTACTGCTTGGGTTTGTTTGATTTTGACAGCATCTAACGCAGATCAGCCTTCCTGGTTTTTATATAAGATTCATTGTTGTATGCCTGCTTGGGGCCAACCTGGCCCTCCCCCTGCACACCTAACAGGGTTGCCTGACCCTGCTGGGAGGTGGTCTTTGCACAGGTGACCACCCCCTGCTCTTTCTCCAGTAAACTCTTACTCATCCCTCTAAACTATCTCTGGGAACCCCTCTCCAACTTCACACTAGTCTCCCACACAGTGTAACAATTAGAACAGTACCAGAATTTCATCGTAAGCTTGTGACATTTATCTCTGTATCCCACCCCCCTAAGTCTAACAAGTGCCAGTCACATAGTAGGTCCTTAAAACTGCTGAAAAGCAGCCATTTATAAATGAAAGGCTTCCTTTTCATGTAATGCAGCCAAGCGTAGGTCATTTTTACTGGATTTGCCAGTTTCCTGACCTTTCTCATTGCCTTCCTGCACTCGGTGGTGCATGGGAGGGGCTATGGATTTGGAACAATCAAGCCTGAGCTCATCTCAGCTGTGACTGATGCTCGCTGGACAGCTACCTCTTCATTTGCTCAGTCAGATTTGACTGTGATTCTCAATCATCTGATCCTTGGGTCCTTTGCGAAGCTGTTGGAAAGGTTGAGACCAGCACCGTCCAGCAGGACATGTGCAGCGGTGGCTGTGTTCTATGTCTGTGGTCCCAAACAGGAGCCACCAGCCACAGGTGCCTACGGAGCACTGGAAATGTGGCAGGTGCAATTAAGGGACTGAATTTTAAATTTCATTTCAATTAACTTAAAGATAAGTAGCTTCTCCTTACTGTAAATCATACTGAAAGCCCTTTAATTAAGCCCTGTGGACACGCCCCGAGATGTTTCTGGAACCTCTGTTATGGTTTACCTCCTCAGGGTGTCTTCCTGGGAGAGGCAGCACAGAATAGGAGCCGGTAATGCAGGATTCTTGAGCCCAGTGCCAGCTCCACCTCCTGCTACCTGGGTGACAGTGGGCTAGATGGAAGCTTGCAGAAGGCAGAGATCAGGTTTAACATATAAAGATAAGACCGTGTGGGAAATGATATACGTGGTGCTGCAGAAGCCCAGAGTGGAAGGAGCCTAGCTATGGAGTCGAGGAAGGCTTTGCAGAGGGGTAGTGTTTTGAAGGATGTGTCTGGGAACTAGCCAGAAGCGGGGTGTGGGAAAGGGTGTTCCAGACAGACAGGCCTGGGCCTGCCTGGTCCACTGAGGGGCGGATGGAAAGCCCCTAGCATGGCTGCGGCTGGACACGGGACAGGGAGCCTGCCAGTGGGCTTGGCTGTCTTGGGAAGAGCTTGAGAAGTGTGTTTTATTTCATGAGCACCAGAGGCCTTAGATAAATCAGTGTGTGAGAAAGGTCATTCCACCTCAGTGGAGAGGACAGGTGGGTAGAGAAAAGGCCAGAGGCAACAAGCCCAGGTGGGAGGCTATCAAATAGCCTGATGCTTGCCAGGCGCTGTTCAAACCTTTTTACATGTCGTCTCATTTAATCCTCAAAGCAAAACTATGCGGTTTAGTGTTATAGAGATGAGGATCCTGCCACCTAGAAAGACTAAGTAGCTTGCGCTGGTCACATGGATAGAGGTCGAGTGCGGATGCCAGCCAGGCAGCAGGGCTCGAGACTTCCACAGTCTGTGTCCTGTAGTCTGTGCTACCTCTCACGGGTAAAACAACATGAGGAGAGGAAGTTCCCGAAACTTCTGGGGGTTTTGTCTGATTCGCGGTACAGGAAAGTGGGAGTTGCTTTGGAGTGGGTTAACTTGATGTCAGGCGATGCCAGGAACCCAGAAGAGAAGCAGAGGCAGAGGAGAGCTTCTGCATTTTGCATTTGAGACACTAGGTCATCCTAGCCATTGACTGTGGGCCTTAGACACCCAGGAGGTGAGTGCAGCGGCAGGTCCATGCTGAGGTGACATCACCCAGTGCTCAGAGAAGCAAAGGCTGAGTCCTGGTACCCCATCCCCCCCAGTGAAGTAGAGGAGAAGGGAACAGAACTGCAATGCAGAAAGGTGGTAGAGTCTTTTTACTCGGGATGTCTATCATAATTTATAGTAATTGTGCATTGAAATCAGTCCGCATTATGAAATGAGACTGATGCCTCTTAATTGATCTAGATTTTGAATGAGGGCTTTGTCACATTTGCCCCAGGAGGCCTGGGGAATCTGTGCTGAGCCCCCGTCTCTGCCTCTGGTGTGTCCTGCAGGTCGGCAGCCGCCGCGTGATCCAGTACGGAGCCGCCCTCATGCTGGCCTTGGGCATGATTGGAAAGTTCAGCGCCCTCTTCGCCTCGCTTCCGGATCCTGTGCTTGGCGCCCTCTTCTGCACGCTCTTCGGTAAAATTCCGTTTCCTTGATGGCCAGCTTCGCACTCAGGCTCCTTTTCTTTCTTCCCGTTTGCTAGTTTTTCACAGGGATCATGTTTTCTTGCTAAACCCCTTCAGTAAGATTGGAGGTAACAGTGCATTTCTATTTTAAAATACAAAAGGATACACCTTTAAAGGATAAAAACCTACACCACTCTCTGAGCTGAATTTATGTTGAAGGTAGAACCAAAGGTCGAGTATTGGGCTAGGAAAAATAAGATGAAATTTAGTCTCTTTAATTGGTATTTCTAACTGATTTGACTCAATCTATCTTTCCCTCTGACTGGGCTGTTTAAAACTGACGATTTTTCAGATGGGACTCCATTTAAACCTTGTGCCATTTAGTTGTAATTAGGGACCAGATATTTGGGTGGGTTTCCCAACTTAATTGAAATGTTTGTGTAGAGGTTTCTAGGGGGAACCAATGTTCTTGGTTTTCTGCTTGGTCTAAAGAAAGCATAGTGTTTATGCCCGTGAATAAGCCCAGAAGGTGCTTAGGCTGAGGGTCCTTTCAATCAGCAACCCAGGTGGTCCCATTCCGACCCCCATGTCCTGTCCCTAAACTGGTGTTCTTATTTCGATGGGACAGAGAAAGGACATTGTAGGGAGTTTGCCTCTGATGGCCGTGAGCCATCTGTCATCCATGTGAGCTGATGCAACTTGCTGTCTGGTGTTTTCTCTCCAGGCATGATCACAGCTGTCGGACTCTCCAACCTACAGTTTATTGATTTAAATTCTTCCCGGAACCTCTTTGTGCTTGGATTTTCAATCTTCTTTGGGCTCGTCCTTCCAAGTTACCTCAGACAGAACCCTCTTGTCACAGGTAAGCAAAACACTTTGAATCTTGGGAGTTGAAACTACAGCCGCCAATTCACAAATGGCTCATGACCAGTCAGAGGACTTTCGAACATCAGGAATTGTCTTGGTGAATGTTCATCTATGAGATTGGACAATTAAATTCGCGAACTTTCCACTGTGCGCTTACACAGTGAAAAGTTCATGAACTTAATTGTCCAACCTTCGTATGTATTTCATTCTAATCTCACTTTGCCTAAGTTTGACTGGAAGCCCTTTTGTATTTCCTACACGAGCTGGCATGTACACATAACTGATGTGCATGTTAAGGTCTCTCTCTCTCTTTTTTTTTTTTAACCAGGACTCGCTCTTTTGGGAGAATGCCTCTGTATAAAACCTTTTGATTTCTCAGAGTAAGGCTGTAAAGTGTACAATTTCTTGAAACTATATACTTTAAAGTACATGTTTTTCTACTAGAATTATAGCTACTTTGAGTCCAAGATTAATCTTTTAAACCCCCTTTTTAAAATTTTTAACACCCCAGTGTTATGAAGAGTGAATAGTGTCATGAAGAGCGAATAAAGGGGAACCATCTTAATAAATAGCTACTGTTTCTGACATTTTATGCAAAATTGGGGAACATTTTATGTATATGTATATACATACATTGTTTTGAGGTGAAATTCACATAACATAAAATTAACCATTTTAAAGTGAACAATTCAGTGGCATTTTAGTACATTCACAATGTTGTGTAGCCACCACCTCTTATCTAGTTTCCAAAACCTTCTCATCACCTGAAAATAAAGTTCCATACACCTTAAGCAGTTAATCCCTATCGTCCCCCTTCTCCCAGGCCCTGGAAACCACCAGTCTGCTTTCTTTTTCTGTGGGTTTGCCTATTCTGGATACAGTAAAACCTTGGATTGTGAGTGACTTAGTTTGTAAGTGTTCTGCAAGATGAGCTAACATTTCTAATACACTTGAACGTGGTAAACGATCGATGTCTTGCAATACGAGTAGTTTGTTTCTGGAATAAATTATGCTCACAAACCAAGGTATTACTGTATTTCCTATAAATGGAATCATACACTAGGTGACCTTTTGTGCCTGGCTTCTTTCACTTAGCGTAACGTTTTTGAGATCCATGTTATAGCATGTATAAGAATGTCATTCCTTGTTATGGCTGAATAATATTCCATTGTATGTATTTACCAGAATCTGTTTACTTATTCATTAATGGACATTTGGGATGTTACCCCTTTTGACTCTTGTGACTAGTGCTATTATGAACATTGGTGTGCAAGGACAGTCAGTTCTCATTCACGGTAGTTATGTTCTGTGAAGTCACCGTGAGCATGGAATTACCAAATCCTGAACTACTGCTCCTAGGGGAGCGGCGGCCAACAGCACCGTAACTGGTGCCTACACGAAGCTCATCTAACACACGTAGTTTCTCCATAAGGCACATCATGGCCTTCTTGCTGCTCTCTGCATGTCCATGAATGACTGGAAGCACCACAAGTATTCATTTTGGCTTTACAAATAAATTCTGGTGTGTAAGCAAATTCACAAGAACAGAATTTGCCAATAATGAGGATTGACTTATTGGTTTGAGTAACTGCTTTCAATTCTTTGGGCTATATGTATATATCTAGGAGTAGAATTGCTGGTTTATACACAGAGGGTGCCAAAAAAATGTATACACATTTTAAGAAAGGAAAAACTTTTAAAATGGTAATACTCAATATATACTGATAACACAAGATGAACACAAGTCATATGTATACAATTTTTAGGCATTCCTGGTATTTTATTTTATTTTTTATTTTTGTTTTTGTTTTTTGATGCTGTGTTCAATCTTAGTTGCGGGTGGGTGTAGCCACCATCCCATGCAGGAGTCGAACTGGCAGCCTTGTTAAGAGCGCACGCTCTGGCCCCTGAGCCATCCGGGCGGCAGCTCAGCTCAAGGTGCCAAGTTCAGTCTTATTTTAGTTGCAGGTGGGCATAGCCCACCATCTCGAACAGGCAACCTTGTTGTTAGGAGCACGTGCTCTCACCAGCGGAGCCATCCTGCCACCTGTTGGCAGCTCAGCTCGTGTGCAGCTCACTGGCCCATGTGGGAATCGAACTGGTGACCGTGTTGCTCAGAGCTCGCGCTCTTGAGCAAGCTCTTAACCAACTGAGCCACTGGGCCAGCCCATGGTATTTTAAATAGAGAAATATGTGAACTAATAACAAGGAGATTCTTGCTGCTTTTGATATTTTAATATATCACATTCATGTGATATTTTTATAAATCTAGTTGCTCTTAATTAAAAGCAGCTAAGCACAAATTAGTAACACAGGATTCTGAGAAGCCTTTGTTTTATTGCAAATACCATAAATATTTTTGTTGTCTTCTTATTCGTTATGTAATTTTTTCAGCCTTACAACAGCCATTTTTTACTTTTTTTTTTTCAATCTGTAAATACCATCAGTGGCTTCATAGTTCATTACAGGGTGAACTTTATTTATGTATTTATTCATTTATTTTAAAGATTTTATTGGGGAATTGGGGGAGGGGAGCAGTGTTGGGGAATTGGGGAGGCGGACCAGCCAAGTTGTTGTTCGTCAATCTTCATTGTGGAGGGCACCAGTCGCCATCTGACTTCCCGTCAGCAGCTCATGGCCTCTAAGCTCAATGTGCTGAGTTCAGTCTTAGTTGCGGGTGGGCTTAGTCACCATCCCATGCGGGAGTCTAACTGGCAGCTTTGTTAAGAGCACACGCCCTATCCACTGAGCCATATAGGCAGCAGCTCAGCTCAAGGTGCCAAGTTCAGTCTTAGTTGCGGGTGTGTGTAGCCCACCATCGAACAGGCAATCTTGTTGTTATACCAGCTGAGCCATCCTGCCACCTGTTGGCAGCTCAGTGACAGCTCAGCTCGGGCGCAGCATCACTGGCCCATGTGGGAATTGAACTGGCAGCCCTGTTGCTCAGAGTTCGCGCTCTTAAGCCAACTCTTAACCAACTGAGCCACTCGACCAGCCCTACAGGGTGAACTTTTCACTGTTAGATTTATCATCTATGCACCATTGTTAGGCATTTTCCTTATGGAGGTGACTTTTTATCATTGTTGAAGGTATTCACAGTAGTTTAAAGCATCACTGGCAAAAAATTTATACATGCACACCGAGAATTTACACTTTTGTGCACTGCATTGACTGGCGATTAGTGCTCACCCCACTGCTCCTTACCAGAGAGAAGCAGGCCTATCTCAGCTGCCAGCGACCTAACTACTGTGTTCTGTTTCTAGGGATAACAGGAATTGATCAAGTGTTGAACGTCCTTCTCACAACCGCTATGTTTGTAGGAGGCTGTGTAGCTTTTATTTTGGATAATACCATCCCAGGTATGTGGTGTATATCAAACATGCTTATTACATATGTGGATTCCTTTTTTTTTGCCAAATAAATAGGGGAAGCAGGAAGAATAAGTCAGTTCAAAGCCATCACTGGTTAAAACTGTCTTTTCTAAAGTGGTTAAGATGACACTCTCCACCTTCTTTTATGAATCAGCTTTTTTGTTAATAACTTATTGGGTTGCTTTCCCCCTTGCTGAATAAGAGACATCAAGTAAATTCCTTGCCCGTTGGAAAGGTGGCAGTGGGTGCCTTGGGCGCACTCCGGGCTGCTTGTTCTCCCTGCACAGCCTTGCCCAGCGCTCTGCAGTTCAGTTTCCTCGAGTTCACACCCTCCTCGGAGCCAGCTGGTAACAGCCCACGGCACGTCTCCTCCTTGGGTGCCTTAAATGAGTCCTTCCTAAGGCAGGCCCCAGCCAGCTGAGACCAAAAGACAGCGAGTAGGGTGGGCACAAGCCTGTGCCAGGATGCATGACTGAGAGATGTGTGCAGGCAGCATCCGTCCGGTACCCACAACTCTTGTTTCTCAGCTGGGTGCATTCTGTGCAAAGCGCTAGGTGATGGACTAGTATGTGACATGGGTCTGCCTTGCAGGCTTCCCAGCTTCCTAGAGGAGGCTGCTATGTACCGTTGTAAAATGCTGCCATAGACGCTGCCCTGGTAGACTCACCTGCCATCAAGGAAGGATGACACTTGTTCTTGAACTTGAAGGTTTTATTGAGATTTTACCATTAAAACAATCCACCTCCAAAAAGCCTCAATCAAGAGGTTGCTTGGGAAGTGGGATGAACACGTCCAACAGAGGGAATCACATGTATGAATAGGTGGAAAGTGTTAGATTTATGAGGGTCAATAACTAATACCCTCTTTTCTCTCCTAAGTCAGAACTAATTGAGGGAGAGGCACACAAGTCAGAGAGATGAAAATTAGAATCAGCTTTCTTACTGAAACACTGATGGGAGGACATAGCTTGGATGTAAGAAAGTACTGAGGATCCTAAATACTGCCCCGTAGGCACGAGCTCATCACCCAGGCTTGGGCACAGAAGTAGAGTGTTAGGTATCCATACAGCTCAGAGCACATGTAACACTCCTCTGCACCAGATCTGTAAAAAAGTCCAGGAGCTGCTGAGCCCTGAGGGCCCAGATCTTTCTCCCTGACTCATCAGTAAGGGTACAGAGGGGCCCAGAGTTACACCAGGAGAAGTTCACCTTCCCAGGAGCACGGGAGTCTGACAAGTGGGGGAATATATGACAAGTGCAACAAGTGCACGCGCTGAAATACAGGCAAGCAGTGTAAAACTTGGTATGTCTCCATTGCGGGGGGTGGGGCATGGAGGTGCCATGACCAGCTGATGAAGGCATTATAGGTGGTATAACAAATACTCTGGGCCCCATTTTGCAAGATCAGATTTGCATTTTAGAGAAAGGTTTTTTTTGTGTTGTTTTTTGCACAGTGTTTGAGAACAGATTTAGGGAAATGGGAGATGAGACAGAAGACTGGATAACCAGTTAAGAGACTGATGTAATGACCCAGCAAAGCCGCGACATGGCCTGGGCCAGACCTCAACAGTGAAAGTTGAGAATATGGCTCATGTGGAAGGACAAGGCGACAGCAAAGGCATCGGGAGGGCTTTTGAATGTGGAGCAAGAGGAACAAAGATGGACCAGCGATTCTTAGATCCCTGGTTTGGGCACCCGGAGAGCTGAGTGCCATCAAGTGTGCTTTGGCGCCATCCCGGCAGGCTCCATCTGTGAGACAGCATGTCGGAGAGTCTCAATTCTTGGTAGAGCTGTTAAACGTTCCTTTGTCTTGATGTATGTGTGTTCCACAGGCACTCCAGAGGAAAGAGGAATCAGGAAATGGAAGAAGGGCGTGGGCAAAGGGAGCAAGTCACTCGACGGCATGGAATCCTACGATTTGCCATTTGGCATGAACATTATTAAAAAATACAGATGCTTCAGCTATTTACCCATCAGCCCAACCTTCATGGGCTACACGTGGAAAGGCCTCAGGAAGAGCGCGAACAGCCGGAGTTCAGACGAGGACTCGCAGGCCACGGTATAGCCGTAGCTTACCCTGTGGCCTGGCCGCAGTGAGGCATGAATCTAGTTCCTTGCTGAGTAACAAGCAGTAACATATATGTTTGTATATCTGCATTTCCATCCTGCACCCCAGAGCTAAGACAGATTGCAAATAGCTTCTTTGTTGTGGTGGTGATCATGTCTAATATGGTGTCTGCCTATCTCTTTATTTAAGTCCTGACCCCTTGCCCTTGAGAGTGTCTGCTGCTGGCCGTGGTCACTGAATTTGATAGTTCCTGTCCTCCTGTGGGAGTGGATGTTTGAAATCCACTGCAATTGCTTGTTTTCAGTCCCCTTCCACTACTCCTAGCTTTCCTATAAGCCACCTCCGGGGTCCAGGGGCTTTCTGTCCTGGAAGCACCTGGACCTGCTAGTTTTTTATTTGACCTTGACCCAAACTGCAGAGACCTCCTGTGGTCAAGGAGCAAGTATCTGCGCCTTGTCCCAACTGACAGGTCAAATATGGTTCTGTTTTCCCTGATACTCCTGTAGAAGGAGGCTGTTGATCTGATTGAAAACAGTGATATGGTTACTATGCCCAGATTTGTGCTTGGGTAAGGTCTGTGCAGATCGTATTAGATTGGGAACCTGTTTGGGGGATTGGAGGGGAAGGGGAAGGACCTGAAGTCAGTATCTGATCCTCAACTGCTCCGTCTCGGTGCCGCGCTGGCCCAGGGTGGGCCAGCACATTTCATATTGGCCTGTTTTTCACTAGTAGCTGAGACACTATCTGGCATTTATCACCCCTGGCTGGTGCAACAGGTATAGAGTACCACACAAGGGCACCAGCCAGATGTTTATGGGAGTCTTGGCTCTGCTGTCATGTGGATGTCAGTTCTTGTTGTGTATGTCTATAAATACAAGATTTTATTCCTATTTAATGTTATTGACTATAGCAGATTTTTGAAATCAGTGTTTTTCCATGTGACCCTCTGACCTTGCATCCCTATTACTTGTGCTCCACCCTCTCCCTCCCATTAAGGAAAGAACCAGCATTTGTAGAGCTGTGGACACCATCAGGGAAGCTTGTTGTCATGGCTTTTGAAGGCCAGTAACCATTCTTGTGGTTGTGTTTTGTATTGCTTGACACCATGAAAGTGTAAATACTGTAATGCCTAACCTATTTATCAAAACTGACTACTGGACCAGAGCCCAGAAACCATGGGGTATGTTGTACGTGAATTTGTTTCGTGAAGAAGGGAAGCCAGGGCAGGTAAAAAATAGAGCCGCCATAGTGGATGGCCTGGCATCCTGGTAAATTCATCACCAACAGTTCTGTTGCAAGTTATTTCCGGCAGTTAAGGCTTAAGGAGACTTTCTGTGGGTTGCCATGTTGCGTGTCCACTGGATCTTGCTTTTGCAGATGGGAAGATGAGCTCTCCTGGCCAAATGCTGCCTTTCTTGTTTCAGTTATTTATTGCACAAGGTGGTGGAAAGGCAGCCACCAGGGTCCCCTCTGTTGAGTTCTAATTAAATAACACTAAATTCTTTCGGGGGGGGCGGGGGGGAAGGTTACTAAAGTTGAATTTGGTTTGAAATTTTTCAGCCAAAGGGAAAGTCTGAGACATACAGTAGTGAGCTCGCTTCCTGAGGTCGGGCTTCCTAAGTGTGCGTTGACCTGGTTGAGCAGTTGAGACTTGGACAGCAGTGGGCATCTCTGTCTCCCATCAGTGGGACGTGGTTCTGGTCTCAGCAGCCTAGTGTCCACAGGGTGCATCTTCTGCCCCGTGGCTGCCTCTGCGGCACCGGCAGCAGCATCGTGTCACTGCAGCCTCCTTGGCTCCTGGAAAGTTGGGGCTTCAAGACTTGTTCTGGCAAGAACACTTCAGAGCCACTTCATTGTTTGCCAAGACCTTAAACAGAATAAGAACTTAGATTGTAAATTACATGTAATTTTGTATGTTACTTTTTTTTTAAGTGTATTTGATGCATAGTTTATTTCGAAGCACACTGGTTAAGGATGGCCATCCCTTTAGCTTGGTAAGCCCTCGAGGCTGACAGCCCTCCTAGACTGAGTTGCTCTCAGTTCCTTCTATTGCTATTTTTGCTCAGCATCTCCAGTTTCTCAGCTCTGAAAAATGAGGAAAGCTGTTACACATGTCAGAGATTTGTAGTATTCTAGCTCTGTAGGTAAGCAGAAGGACCAGATACTCAAATGAAAGCATCTGAACAATCAGTAATTCAGAAACAAACATGTCCCCTTCAGCCTAGTAACCAGCGGGTAACACTCAGGATACGTATGTGCTTCAGACATCCAGAAGCCCACTCCCTTCTGAAACCCCTCCTTGAGTCAGGTTTTATTAGGAAGTTTCAAGTCTGCTGGTCCAGGGGGTGTCTGCAAGCATTCACATGTGGAGGGAAACCCTGTACCCACGCCACCTGTTGGAAACAGGGTTTTTGCCCTTCTTTCGCTGGGGCCAACTTTAGATTCTCTGTCCAAGGGCAGCAGTGGGGGCTGATGGAAGGGGACAGGAGGCGCGGATGAAAGAGGGCAGCCTGACTAGAGGCTCCTTTGAGTCTGGTACTTTCTGTGCAGCCTGTGAAACTCACCTGTGCTTGAGTGGTTGGAGTCTCATGATAACTAATAAATCTTGTACGTGCAGCACCCACCAACCATTTCAGGAAGTGGTCCTCCTGCTAGCAACTATGCGACAGAATGAGCCTAATTGAAAGAAAACTGTGTTCATCTGCTTCTTGGGTTTAAGCACACCACCTGGAGGGGAGGTTTTGCGAGACGTGGTACCCATGCGTGGTCTGTCCCTGTTCACTTCCCACTTTTAACTGTTGGCCTGTGTTGCTGAGGCTACACACCCAGCCTGCTTTGTTTGACCAGTAGAATGTTTTAAAATATTTTATATGTAAATGCCCCTGGGCAGGGCGTTCAGTCTCCAATTTCCACAGTGGCCACCTACCCACCATCTTTACATTTACGCAAGCCATCCTGATGTGCAAAGTAAATTGAAAGTGTAAGGACAGTAGGTGCAGCCGTATCACAGTAAGGAGTAGATAAGGGAGACCTCCAGCACTGGTTTTGATAAAATACCTAACATGGTTCACAGAATGATGGGCAGTGGCTCCAGTCTTCGTAAGCAGTTTTCATTTTCATTTTTACTAGGGAGTTAAACTTAGTATCGTTGGTACAGAATCTTAAGAGGGTTTCAAATGTCAACTTTTAGTTAAGTTTCTTATGATGGATCAAGGCAAGAGAAGTGGCTTAACCAGGTCAACTAGAATGAAGCATCATGGGTCCTGATGGTTTCCCATTTTCATGATAACAAATTCACACACAGGATTTGCTTTATACTGTAGAATACTGACTTTCATGATGACAACTTGATTTATGCATGAATATTACAGTATTTCCATATAGTAAAATAACATTTCTACCCAGGATAATAGTCACAGTTTTCCAGGGAGGGAATGATATGATTTTCATGACAATGTCATGTGATGATAGAATTTCTCCATTGATGAATCTCTAGTATGTGTGTATACTTTATTTACCCATGCATATATTTTATGACCATAAGCTAAGTTGTTATTTCTTTAATTCATGTCCCTGCTGAAATATCGGTACTTAGCAACTTAGACTTGAAGTTGGCAACTATAATCTTCCTTAATATCAATGCCACAAGAGTGGCCAGGCCAGATGGGAGGTGAATAAGGAGCTGTGGTGGGAGCCTCATTCCAGAACCTGCCTGGCACAAGGAGAGGCAGCATCCTGCAGGCCGCTGTGCTTGGGGTGTGCACTCAGGCCTGGCGTGGTTGTCGCTCGAGGCCCGGTGCGCATGCTCAGCCACGCCCTCTTGACACACGTGGTCATGCGCATTGGCAGGGAGCTGCCCCTGGGCTTCAGAGAAGAGCCTGTAGTTTCACGTGCTGCACGTGTTATGCCCTGTCCCCTTGGGATTTGGACACGGGGAACAGGACGTCTCCCACCCTCCACCCCTCCTGCAGTCACAGCCTGAGTAGTGCAAGAAGACCACCCGTTTTTGCCAGTGTTCAGTTTCCACCCATGGACCCAGAAAGCACGTTAGCGCTGGGAATCCCTTTTCAGCAGCCTCACACACATTCCTGTCCTAGGTTGTTGTTGACTGTGCCTCGTCATCACTACATATGTAACTTTCAGCATCCTTAGAATTCCTGTGTGTGTTTCCCAGCACTTAGTACACCCTTCCCAGCGTGGCCATCTTACTGGCAGTTCAAATTAATACCGTTTTGGGTTTTTTTGTTTATAACAACCTTTGTTTGACATATTAATAAATTTCTGACTGTTCTTAAAACAGTGGGGATGCCTATATTTTCCTTGAGTTTTTGTGACTGACTTTGGCTATGTACCTTTCTGGGATTTTTTTTGTTTTTTTTTTTGTTTGTTTTGATTTTTTTTTTTTTTTTGCATACCAAGGGTATTTGGGTGGGGTTGTTTTTTGAGATGTGTAATTCTTTTATGGAGTTTTTAAAAAGAATTTTCATATTGTTTTTCTAACATGGCTTCATTAAACGTTTAAGTATTTTAAAAATATGTAATATTTGGACCAGATGTTGTGAATAATAGTAGAGATAAAGCTATTTTATTCTGTATTTTTAAAACTGTTCCGTACAAATAAAAGCTCTTCTGGACACAGTTCTTCTGGTCACGTGCCTCCTTCTATGGCTGGTCTTTAAGAAACGCATCGTTAATTAAAAGTCATCACCTAGGGGAGGGAAATGGACTAACAAAAAATTCAGTTAAGCGAGTTCACAGACTTACTGTTGGGTACCTGGAAGATGCCCAGAGAACCATGGCAGGCTCCTTGGGAGAATGTCAAAGGGGCGGGAAAACCTGTTAGAAGATGTGCTCATGCTGGACTTTGGGGTGAAATTATGAGTCTCTTATTGGGTCAGCGACATCTGGATATTGGGGACCTTTTAGGGACCAGTGACCAGAAGGCTGTCCACCCAGTGGAATCAGAGGCTCTGAGAGCAGCCTCCTTCGCCTCAGGCCGACTGAGTATTTAGACTGGCAGGAAATGCTGAGGTGTGGGTTCCAGAAAAGGTTCAGAGCCAAGCTTGAGAGTAGCTGGTGCCGGTTCATTCACTTCATTCCCCCGTGGGGTATGACGGTGAGCCCAGAGGTGCTTAGGTATACTTCTCAATTTAGAACAGACTTAGAGCTCCCCCATTCCCGTCTCCATCCCTGATTCATCTATGGCAGCTTGGGCCTTGAGTGACCACCACAGCTACTCCCATAGGGTGTGTGACCTGCCGCCCCCCTGTTCCCCATATCCTAACCTGTGAGCCATTGCTAGTCAACCAGTCATAAAGGGAAATGTTTACATTATGTTTACTGTATAGACATGGAAAAGTATGTGTAAAGTATTTAGAATACTCGTGTTCTCACCCCAGCTGGGACACAGCACTTGACCACTATATCAGACCCTCATGCGCCCTGCCCCATCCCATGGACCTCTCCTGGTAGAGTTCCTTCCCTCACCAAGAGAGAAACACTACCTGGATTTTGGGCTTATCCTTTCCTTGCTGTTCACAAGTTTGCCATATATATGCATCCCTAAACAATTTACTATTAATTTTGCATGGTTTTGAACATTATGTCAAAGGAATGACGGTGTATGTATCATCACATTGTGAGATTGTTTCATGTTGCTACATATCTAGAATATTCCTCCATCTTCACTGCCAGGTAGTAAAATTTAAGGTGAACAAAGACAGAGATCATTCTGAAAGCTTCCAGAGAGAATAAGCAGAACAAAGCCTGAATAGCTGGGACTCATTCAAAATTTTCAGCAGCAACCCTGTTTGTGCAGTTACATTTTTAAGGACTAAAGAAAAAGAACTTGGAACTTATGATTTTATGTCTAGCTGCTCAAAGGCCCCCATTTACATATTTTAGGTGAAGTACTTAAATATGAGAAGAAACAAACCTAGGAAGTGCGGTAGGAGGTAAACAGAGGGAAAGGTGAGCAAGACATATCTTGGTAAACCTGGTGTCTTCATCCGTTCTGTCTGCTATCACAGAAAACCACAGACTGGGTGACTTAGAAGCAAACATTTCTCATAGGTTTGGAGGCTGGAAGCCAAGGTACTGACAGATTAGGTGTCTGTTGAGGACTTGCTTCCTGGTTCATAGATTCCCATTTTCTCCAGGTGTCTTCACATGGTGGAAGGGGTGAAGGATCAATCTCTTTGGGGCCTCTTTTATGAGGACATCCCATTGATGAAGGCTCCAACCTCATGACCAAATCACCTCCCAGAGGCTCTACCGCTAGACACCATCACATTGGGGATTTCAACATATGAATTCTGGGGGACACAAACTCATTATAAAGCGAGGGCCAAAGGAAAAAAATACCCATAATCTCAAATTATAATTCAAGACCACATCAACTTGGTGGTGGGGAAGAGAGGAGACTAGGTCTGACAATTTAGTCCACAAACTTGTTGCAACGATGTTGCTAACTTTTTTTGATATCGAGGGTTATTCCTTATGCATTTGTACCAACTGGACAGTTAACCAAGTTGACTGTTTGGAAGTGCTGAAAAGGTTGTGTGAAAAAGTTAGATGACCTGAACTTTTTGCCAACAATTCATGGCTCTTGCTTGCTTCACAACAATGCACCAGCTCACACTGCACTGTCTATGAGGGAGTTTCTAGTCAGTAAACAAATAACTATTGGAACACCCTCCCTACTCACCTGATCTGGCCCCCAATGACTTCTTTCTTTACCTGAAGAAAAAGGAAATATTGAAAGGAAGACATTTTGATGACATTCAGAACATCAAGGGTAATACGACGACAGCTCTGATGGCCATTCCAGAAAAAGAGTTCCCAACTTGCTTTGAAGCGTGGACTAGGCACTGGTGTGTGTGCATAGCTTCCCAAGGGGAGTGCTTGAAGGTGTCCATAATGATATTCAGCAACGAGGTATGCAGCACTTTTTCTAGGATGAGTTTGCGAACTTAATTGTCAGACCTCGTACAGAGGCGAAAGAAACAGGCCCAAGTGTACCAATAACTATTAGTGGGCCAAACTTGCCAATTAAAAGACAGATAGTTAGACCAGATAGCAGAACAAAATCCTGGTATATGCGGTTTACAACACTGATGTTCAAAAGTGTGGCGGTGATAATTGAAGGCCTCAACAGATGTGTTTAGAAGATGATAGTGTCTTAGAAACATTTTTTCTAATTGGGAAATTGGGGATGGGGAACAGTGTTGGGGAATTGGGAAAGGGGAACAGCCAAATTGTTTTTTAGTCTTAGTTGGGGAGAGCACAGCTAGCTCAGCTTCAAGTCCAGTCGCCATCCGGCCGCCTGTCGGCAGCTCGTGGCCACTCAGCTCAAAATGCCATGTTCAATCTTAGTTGAGGATAGGTGTAGCACACCATCCCATGTGGGAGTCAACTGGCAACCTTGTTGTTAGGAGCACATGATCTCATTAGCTGAGCCATCCTGCCACCTATTGGCAGCTCAGCTCAGGCACAGCTCACTGGCCCATGTGGGAATCAAACCGGCGACCCTGTTGCTCAGAGCTCACACTCTTAACCAACTGAACCACTCGGCCAGCCCAGAAATTTTGAAAAAGTTTATGAAATTTTCTAAGGCATTTGTCATTTTATGTGTGTGGAATCTAATACTAAAATATCTGATTTATATTTTAATTTTAGTAAAATAAATTTCCAGAATTTCATTAATTTATTATTTTAAAAAATATTTTACAAAAGTCTTGGAGCCTATAAAGTCTTGGAGGAAAAACAAAAAACAATTGATCCTTCACCATAGATATGTTTAGAAGCACTGGTTTACATAAGGACAGGCAAAACTGAAAGTAAAAGGGTGGGGGGAAAATCATGTGGGGCAAATACTAACCATCTATATTATGCTATTTTCAGACAAAATAAATCCTAAGACAAAAAACATAAGGATTGGGAAGTTTATGATGTAATGATAGAAAGGTTCAATGTACAAATGGAGTCAATTTTAAACACATGCACATAATCAGACAGCCTCAAAATTCATGCTGTATGAATTGGTAGAGCTATAGGAAGAAATGGATAAATCCACCTGCCAATGGGAAATTCCAACACCTCCATTTTGGTAAGTCAGGCGGGCAAAAACTAAGCTAAGTTAAGTAACCAAGGGGCGTGTTTAGAACTCCACATTCAGCAATTAGAGAATACACGTTCTTCACAAGCACTTGGTTGTTTCTATCGCTCTTCTTGTTCTAGGCATTGAAACAAGACTCAAAAGATTTTCAGAAATAGTTATCAGATGGAACTTGTTCACTAACTGTACACAATTAAGCTGGAAGTTAATAAAAATTAAATGAAAAAAATCCGCGTATGTAGAAAATATTGCTAAATAGCTCATTGGTTAAAGAAGAAACTAGTAACGGAAACATTCTTTAATGAAGGTCCTTGCTTGTCCTCTGTTGGTTCTGTTCACACCTCCTCCTGGAATCTGATTTTACTTTCACACAGCATCTCCTAAGGCCTCTCCTCTCAGTTTCATAGCGTTTCACCCATACTGTCTTTTCTCACTTCCTCTAAGTTCTAGGAGAATTTCCTGAGCAATGATCTAAGTCAGTGACTGGGTTTTCTAGAATACCCAACCTCTTGCTTATGTCTTCTAGTGCACTTTTTTTTTTCTTGAAAGATTTTATTGGGGAATTGGGGGAGGGGAACAGTGTTGGGGAATTCGGAAAGAGGAACAGCCAAGTTGTTGTCCTTCAATCTTAGTTGTGGAGGGCGCAACTAGCTCAGCTCCAAGTCCAGTTGCCATCCGGCCACCCGTTGGCAGCTTGCGGCCTCTCAGCTCAAGGTGCCATGTTCATTCTTAGTTGCAGGTGGGCATAGCCCACCATCCCAATGCGGGAGTTGAACCGGCAACCTTGTTGTTAGGAGTACGTGCTCTCACCAGCTGAGCCATCCTGCCACCTGTTGGCAGCTCAGCGGCAGCTCAGCTCAGGCGCAGCTCACTGGCCTATGTGGGAATCAAAACGGCGACCCTGTTGCTCGAAGCTCATGCTCTTAACCAACTGAGCCACTTGGCCGGCCTCCGTCTAGTGCAATTTTTAAACAATTTGTTTTGGTCATTTTCAAACATACACAAAAGTAGAATAGTATAATAACCGCCCATGTGCTTATCACCCAGCCTAACAGGTATTGACTCCTGGCCAATCTAGTTTCACCTACACCCCTCCCCCATTGATTTTGATAAAATCCCAGGCATTTTACTTCATCTATCAATGTTTCGGTAGTTACCTCTACCGACAGCTTAGAAAACCACAAACAATTATATCTTTAAAAAATTAACAGCGTTTATTTAACATAATCAAATACCTAGTCGGTGTTCAAATTTCCAGTTGTCTCATAAATATTTCAAATAGGATCCAAATAATGTCCACACTTCACTGTTAGTATTGGTTGATAAGTGTCCCTCTTCCTTGCAGCTTATTTGTTGAGCAATTCATTTGTTCTGCAGTTTCCTATGGGAGATGCTGAGTGCATCCCCTTAAATATGTTCTTTTGCCTGAATCTGGGGTGGGGAAGCCCTACTTTTTAAGTGGCTGTGTGTCCTTCCATTGGGCAGCAAGAGGGCTCTCCTTTCATGACCTCCAGCCACGCATGCT